CTCCTCAGAGTATTGTGTAATTGTTGGATCCTTTTATTCCATCTCTGTAAGAACAGCCAGAGCAGGGAGTTTTTCCCTGGAGCAGCTGTTCCATCACCTGTTGAAATGAATCCCAAACACCTTCACTGCACACGGATGGACCAACCCTGTAAAAATTCAGTGAGAAAAAGGAGAAAAGAGGAATATTTGTGCAGGTGAAGCTGGGAGGATCCAGGGACAGTGTTCCAACAGGGAATGGGGAGAGGAGTGTTTGAAATCAGTACGAAAAAAGGCATTGAGGAAAATTCCTGTGAGGAGATTCCTGCAGGGAATTGAGCTTARTGAATTAAATGAACTCGGGAATTTTCATTTCCCTGGATTTTACCTGTCCAGCACTGAGCAGAGTGCCTTTGCTGTGTCCAGAAGGAACAACATTTCCTGGCTGCTGCTGCTGGAGTTTTCTCTTCTCCCGCAGCAAATGCAGGTTCTGGAGAGGAGAGGGAACGGGTCTGATGTGCTGAGCATCCCCTCCTCGCTCCCTCCAATCCCTTCCCAGATTTTCTCAGGAAATCCGCAGTGGATGGACATTCCTTGGCTTGCAGGGTGTGGATGAAGCTCCTGTCAGCACCTGCCTTGTGCTGATCCTTTTTATTCCAGCCAGGACTGCTCCATGCTCTGCTCTGAGGCTCTTTAGGGTGCTCTGATTTTAGGGTGAGGGTCTCTAACCCAGCTGAGCACCACCAGCCATCCCAGTGGGAATTCCCATGGATTTTGAGGAGCATTCCTGAACCATCCTGCCAAGGTTTGGTGCATCCCATCAGAGCTCCAAGCCCTCCCAGAGCTCTGATGGACATCCCAGATTTCCCCTCCATCCCTCTCCCTAAAGCTGGCAGGAAATTGCAACCCGATAGGAGCGAGCCCTGTCGGTGGCTCCTCATTGTTTGAGGATTGTTTACATCCCCTTTTTTTGTTATCCCATCTCCCTGACTCTTCCCTGACCTCCTCGGGTCCATTGTGCAGGGCTGATGGTGTTCCAGAGAGTTCTGAGGG